CAGACACAGTAACAACAAAGTCTCCAATGGAGACGTTACTGGGCCCGCTCGAGCAAATCGACGATCAACGGGAGGGCCTTACCATATATATATATATATATATATATATATATATATATATATATATATTCCATTATGACTGAAAGGAAAAGTCAAAGATTTCAGTCACTCCTTCCTTAACATTGTTTGAGAGGGCCGGAGAGAAGATAATAAGTAAGGCGCTTTCTTGCATGTGCCCAGCATCACAGATGGTCCCCCCAGAGTCCCTTTAGAAGAGAAACCTGAGCACAGAGCCAGAAGTAACGCTGAGGGCTACACTTGTGGCCTCAAAAATCAAAACAAACAAAACATTATGCATGAGTTCTTGGAAATCATGACATTACACAAAATAATTTTAATTAAACCAATTTTCCCGTAGACTAATTGATATCAAGAAATGTTACATTCCTATGGAGAATTTTTAATTACAGTACCACCAAACTTCCAAGACCAAGACACTTCAATATTAAAAAATAATTTGCATTTGCTCATTCATTTTCTCATCTCTTTGTTCCAGTTCTGAGTCTCAGGTGGCCCAAGCCTTTCCAAGTAGCTCTGACACAACCCTGGACAGGGTACCCTGCCATCCAGGTCCTCCCCCCAACACACACAAACACTTCTCCTGCCACCACAGGTCTTCCCCCAATCTTCTCTCCCTCTCCCTATCTCTCTCCTTCTCCTTTCTCTCTCCCTGCCTCTTTCTCCTCTCTCTTTCTCTCTCTCCTTTCTCATCTCCATTTTCTTCTCTCTCTCTCTCTCTCTCTCTCTCTCTCTCTCTCTCTCTCTCTCTCTCTCTCTTTCACCTCTCTCTCACTCGACCAACCATCACAGGGCATACCACACACATGCATGCACACCAACTGTGACAATTTAAACATAGCAATGAACCTCATATGTATCTCTTTGAAAACTTTAATACAGCAAGAAAGTCCATTCATATATGGGTGGTACAGGGAGATGCTGCGCAGACTGTGGCTCAAGACAGGAATCAACTATTTTTCCTTACCTCTGTATTTTTCAAAATGATATTGAACTAAACATTATTTAGGGAACCTATAGCACTACCCATTAATCTGTGGGACTCATGCTAACATGTTTAGGGTTGGAAACAGTAGACTAAGGAGAGGATGCCCCGTGGATTTCAATTCTTTGTATTTTCTTTGCTGTATCTTTTCCACTATCGCCTGCTGAATAGCATTTCTCCCATTACCTCTGATCAGAGTTTTCATAGCTGGACTTCATGAATACAGATTCTAACCATTTTCATTCAGGGTTATTCAGGTTTCATTCAGAACAACTGTTTTCATGATGAAAACAGCTCTAGAAATTCTGTTTGCTCTGAAAATGTTCCCCTCTGGAGGGTCACAACATACATCCAACAAAGTTGAAGGTTTCGCATATGAATAAGGCGGAAAGGAAAACTATTGAATACCTTCATGATTAAACAAAGCAAACATTTGCTTATAACAAGCCTCCTTGCACTATATTCCAGTCCAATCCATTGGGCTGGTCTCACAGCCAACTTATCCTAGGAATCCTGGCCTTTGGTGCTCTGCTGTTTCAGCTCACAGAAAGGGGTTAGACAGCGGGTTCCAAGCAGCAACCACATGCCTAGATTTTAGGCTCTGTGTGTCCAAGACAGTCACCACAAATCACATGTCACTATTTATATTAAAATTCAGTTCTTCAATCATACCAGCCATAAGTCAAATCACATGTGGATTGTCCCTGCCATATTGATTAGACCATATAAGAGCATCTCCATCATCACAGAATTTTCAGCTGAACAGCATTGCTACAAATCTTGTCTACTAAAGAAAAATTATTTTAGCCTTCATCTCATCTATGTCTACCACGAGACAGATTTTTCTGAAAGTAGGGATGGTGTTTTGTCACTTCTGGGTTCCTGCAGAGAAGGCCACTGAAAATTATAGAGGAGATAATGAAAATGAGCTCTCCTGCTTGTTCCCAGGGCAAATACCAACCCGGATCACATCACTCAAACACGATTCACCTCTCAAAATTTGCAGTTTTTACTTGGTTTCAAAAGGAATATCAAAGACAGAAATTGAAGTCAGTGGATATTCCACCCACTGTAGACAAGCACTCTGAAGGTTTTAGAGTATTTTTTTTTACTTAACAAATAGAAATATTGTTGTCAACTGAGGTATAACTTGCATGTCATTTTTATATGATGTACACTAAATATAATTGTCACTATAAGCAATATGTAGAACATTTCAACCAAGTTCCAATGTCCCTTCCTCTTCTCTGTGGCCAGACCTCTCCCATCTTCTTCCATCCTCTCTGGAGATCACTGTTCTGCATTCCATTCCTGCAGTTTTTATTTCTCAAGAATATTATAAAATGGGATTTATGATAGGTGGCTTTTCTGGTCTCTTATTTGGCACACAAATTTTTAGATTCATCCTTTTTCAAAAAAAAATTGGGGGACAACACAGTGTATTACCCCTAGCTCTCCTGGCTACTCCTGCTCTTTGCTCAGGAGAGAACCCTGGAAGTGCTGAGTAAATTTATGCAGTGCCCAGTATTGAAATGGGGTCAGCTACGTGCAAGATGAGATTATCTGTGTTATACATGTCGGTTCCATTTTGTGGCTGAGTAGTGTTCTGATCTGGGGGGGGGGTTCGCTTTTTTGGGTCACACCCAGCAATGCTCTAGGATTACTCCTAGCTCTGCACTCAGGAATTACTCCTGGTGGTGATTGGGGGACCATATGGAATGCTGGGTATTGAACCCAGTTGGCTGCATGCAAGACAAATGCCCTATCAGCTGTACTATCATTCTGGCCCCATAGTATTCTGTTTATGGATATATACACACTGCATTTATCCATTCTAGAGTTGATGGACTTTTTTGTGTTGTTCCTAACTGTTGGAGCTTAGAATAGAGCTGATAGAAAATTAATACATAGGTTTTTGTACATGAATATGTTTTCATTTATCTTGGGGAAATTCCTGGAAACTGTATTGTTAATCCTCTCAGAGAGCCCAGCAAGCCTGGTAAGATCACGTGACATATTCAATATGCCAAAAACAGTAACAACAAGTCTCACAGCTTGTTGTGAGATGTTACTGGTGCCCGCTCTAGAAAATCGATGAACAATGGGAGGACCGTGCTACAGTACTACAGTGTTGTTAATCATATAGTAAGTTTGTGTTTAATTTTGTGAGAAACTACCAAACTGACTTCCAAAGAGATCTTACTACTTTATATAAGTACTCCAGTCTCTACCAACACAGTGTATTTTCCCTTTAAAAAAATATTTTTAAATGGGTGGCACAGGTAGGGCACTTGCCTTGCACATGGCAAACCAGGGGTCAATCCCCGGCATCCCCTATGGTCCCCTGTGCACCAACAAGAGTAATTCCTGAGTGTAGATCCAGATGTAACCCCTAAGTACTGCCGAGTGTTCCCCACCCACAATTCCCCACCCTCCGCCAAAAGAAAAGGAAAAAATGTAATTGTGGGGACCAGAGCAATAATATAGTTGTTAGTGTGTGTGCCTTGCACAGAGCTGACCCAGGTTCTATCCCTGGCACCTCACTGCTAGGAGATATCCTTGAGTGCAGATCCAGGAGTAAACCCAAAGCACCGCTGGATGCTTCCCAGAACAACCCACCCCCTGTATTTTTAAGTTGAGCTACCCTACTAATATAGTATGTTTCATTTTCACTTCTTTGTAGTTTTCATAGTTATTTGATATCAGTATCTCTGTTGAGACTTTTTATTTAAATCTTTTTGCTGAAAATTTTTTTCATTTCCAAATTATCTTCTTTGTTTTACTTCTATTGGGTTGTAAGAATTCTTTTAATACTCTAAATACAAGTACTTACCAGAAAAAAAATGTTCTACAAATATTTCTTCCCACTTTTTACCAATCTAATTTTTTCACTCGTCTTAATTTTTGGTAACTTTTTTTGAAGAGCCAAAGATTTTTTTCATTATATTGAAAATCAAAGAGATAGTTCTAAGTACCTGCCAAATGCTAACCTTTGATCAACTCTGGAGCTACAATATTATCTAAGGACGGGAATGTAGCTAAGTGGCCAAGCACTTGTCTTTCAAATATCATGCCTTAGGTTCAATTCCCCACACTGTGAGAAGAAAAAAAGAGAAGAATGAGAAAGAAAAGAATATATAATTGCCTTCTTCATGCAAGAGTGTCTGTGCATACTCCCCATTTTCCTGTAATAAGTGCTTACAATTGAAGACAGGGGTGCAGGCATAGCCTTTTTTTAAAAATAAAGCTCTCTTCAGAAAGACTACAGCTTTCTTTACACAAAGATCTTGCCTTGTCCTTTTTGTTATGTCAATATATGAAAAAGAGCCTATCACCCTGTGGGCATAATGTATAAACACAGGGATCCAGAGTGGTGTAGTGGTAAGACACTCGCCTTGCACACAACTGACCTATTCAATCCCCAACATCATATGTGTTCCCCCAAGCCACACTAGGAGCAATCTCTGAGCACAGAGCCAGAAATAAGCCCTGAGGCACTCTGAAGTGTGCACCCCCCCCAAAAAAAGCAAACAAATATATGAGTTCATATTCACTTAATGGGTAAATAGAGTGAAAAGTAATTCCAGTAAGCTTCATTCTCTTCCCTTCCTCCTTGCCTTCACACATGAAGGAATACACTTTCTTTTTCATGCCTTCTTTTAAAAAAATTTATTTTTAAAAAATTAAGTGTTTTTCAAATCACTGTGAGATAGACCATCACACAGCTATTAGTGATTGGGTTTCAGTCATACAGTGTTCCAATACCCACCTTTCCACCATTGTACTTTTCCCAATGTCCCCAGTTACACAGAAAGCTTGTTGGGGACCCAGATTTCCAGACAGGGAGGTGACAAGCCCTGCTGCTGCTCAGTAATGCCCTGAAGGGGCCCCACCCCCAGCCTGTATAAAGCAGGTGGGTGCGGTGGGGCAGCCACAGCTGACACTGGCACAGAGCACTGAGCACCGGCACTGACGCACGTACGCTATGGCAAAGGAAGTGCAAGCTCCGCTCTCCCCACTAAAGGGGGGCCATCCTCCTGCAGGTAGGCTGCCCACCCACCTTCTGTCCTGCAGATCGAGGCCTCCCTCAGCTGCTGCTGTGCCCCTCTTTCCACCTGTGGGAGGCCCCTGTCCCCCCACCGGAACACAGGTTCTTGCCCACCAATGATTCCTTTCATTTCATGCCACTCGATTTCTTCCCAGGGCATTTATCCTTCTGGGCTTGTTTGTGTGCAAACCACCTGGGGGTTGTTGAGGCCCCAGTCAACTGACAGTCTAATTATATCTGCAAGTACAGATATGCAGGGCTGGTAGAAAGAGATCAGCAGGGAAGTAGGGCTTTTCCTCCAGGGCTCTAGGTGAACAGCAGCACATCCACACCTGGAAGGAATTTACTGTCATGGAAATGTTCCTTTTTGGAGATTCCAGCTCTCAGACTCAGTTGTATCCCGGATGCCTGTCTATCATCTGACTGTCCTGCAGCAACCTGGCTTCTACAAGTGGTTGCAGCCCCATTTTTTCCGCTCTCCCAAGGCTTTAGGCTTGAGCAGTGTAATTATCAGGAATGCTGTGACCATGACAGCAGAAACCCTTTTTTATAAGAAGGGCCATGCCCCAGGGTCACCCCTTTCAGTGCTGGCGTGAGGGCAGGCAGTGATGGGTGAGGGCAGGCAGTGCTGGGAATCAACTCAAGTAGATTGAACAAGCCAGGCCTGGGCTGTACTAGAGCTGTGGGAAGTACTTTGGATTAGAAGCCAAATACTGCAAGGTACTGACTGGAGAAGGAGCTTCCAAGGTGTTTTGTAAAACATACACAGTTCTCTACCTTTTTTTGACATAGGCTATTTATATTAACTCTCTGGGATATGGAAATTAATTTTATCATACTTAACCATATGTTCCTATGGATTGGCTAAGGTGTGTGGTGTTTATAGCCAGTGTTATGTTTTATGAATTGCTTGCCTTCTTTTTCCCTGCTCAGTGGAAGAGCACCTGCCTTGCACATTTGAGGTCCTGGGCTTCATCTCATACAACACACACACACACACACACACACACACACACACACACATCTCAAAGCTTAACTGTCTTATGCTTGTTTCTTTGTGTGTTTGGGGACTAAACCTGGTGATACTCAGGGGCTACTTTCAGCATCGTGCTCAGGGGACCATGCAGTCCTGGAAATCAAAGCTGGGGTTCCAGCATGCAAAGCATGTGTTCTAGACCTTTGAGATATCTTCCTGGCCTTGTTATGTTTTTAATGTACAAAACTTTTTTATTGATCTAATTCCTTGGCACATTTGAGACAAGATTGTTTCAACCATCTAAGTAGTGAAAGAACATAGCAACAATAACCTTTGCAAAGCACCAAAAACAGGTCCATAGTATTCCCTGACTTTCTGGTGAGATGAGCATCAGAATGTTCGCAAGTTTTTCTGTTTGCATTTCTAGGTACCAGGCCCTGGTCTCCTATGATAGATGCTAGCCATTTTATATTTGTGAGTGTACTGAGTAATATTTAACATCATTTATACTTAAAGTTAATGATGCTTTAGAATGGTCAGGAACCTAATATGCAAATTGTTGGAAGAGAAAATGATTACACAGACAAAGAAAAAGAAATGCCATTCTCTTCTTATCACATCTACCTTAGTTCTTCATAAAACATCAAGCTAGATATAGCTTTCTAAAACCAGATTTGGTCTGCTAAATTGCACTGATGCACAAAGAACACAGAGAGAAACTTAACCAAACGAAAGTTTGAATGAAACCAGGAACTTTCTGTCCCCACCACTAATGATTGCTAATTACTCTGTGTACATTGCACACCATGACTCCATCAAGCATGTCAAGATGCCTCTGGCATGACAATTAATTATTATGAACTGTGACACTACAGATAAGAGGTTTGGGATAATTAGGATGGAGATGAAGGCAGACTTTTGCCTCCCCACTGAGAGCCAAGGAACAAAGAAGCCTCATTTTTCAGCTTGTCTACATATTTTAAGTCAGAACTAGTTTACAAGGGGGCAACATTTTATTTATGGAACAAAACTAATTTGTTGCCAGAATTCCATTCTGTGCTTGCCTGCATTTTATGAGCAGCATGGAGACCCCTGAAGGTAGGAAGCAGACATGTTATGGTAGAAAGGGTCTGAAGAGGCCTTTGGACTATGCCAAATCTGGATTTAAACACTGTCTTCATTTCATGTCTCCAAGTCTCTGTTTTCTTACAATGAACATAGGGGTTAAAAATAACAAGCATCTTACAATGTTACTGAGACGACTGCAGGAGATTACCTATGTAAAGAACTGCCTATATGAATCTGAAAATGTAGAACGATTAAAACATGCAGCTTTCAGTTGCAGTGAAATCTTCCTCTCTTTTTGCAAGGCATCATGATGTTTGGGCATCACTGCTTGAGGCCTCATTGTAGCGTCAGAACAGGGGAAAACTGCAGTGAAGAGACTCCTGCCTCCCACTGCAGTTAAAAATGAAACCACTCAGAAGAAGGCAGCCAGCTGTGACTTGCCCACCCACGTGAAGAGTGCTTAGCGGGTTTTCTTTTATGTGTATTAATATAATAAATTGCACCGCGGTTAGCCCTGGTTATAAATCTTTGCTGTGCAATGAAACTCCATTAGACATGTGGCATGGTTAAGCTTAGCTTTGGATTTTCTGCCTTTTTTTTCATTGGCTTCACTCTCAGTTTTAAAAGCACCCCCTTTCCATGAGCAGCCAAAAATAAATGTGTTTATAGAAGGTGACCTGAGGAAGGCTAGTACCTAAATGAAACCAGGCTCTGTATTTTGTCCTTTTCTTTGTACTCTGTCGTGTGGTTGGAGTCAAATGAATCACAGTTATCAGAGAGGTCAGTACTGAATCCTTCAGTGAGCATCAGTTTTTCTATTCACTAAGGAAAAGAGAAAAATAAGGGGTGTGTGTGTGTGTAGTGTGTGTGTGTGTTTGGGGGGGCAAGGTGTACCCCCAAGTGAAATTAAAGCAGAAAATAGAAAATCATAGTTGCATAAGAACTGAAATCATTTATTAAATAAACAGACAAAACCCCAAAGAATTTATTCTGAACTCCAGTCACCCCAGTTAGCATGTGGAGGTGGGAGAGGAATAAATGTATAAGAAAGGTTTCAAGATCCCACCCCCACCCCAGTACACACATACATGGCAGGGGCCAAAATTTGAGGGGAGAAGAGCCAACACAGCTTCTAGACTTCCAGCCCTGCAGACTGCTAGTGGCCACTCATGCAGTTTCAGAGGAGCGAGCCAAAGTCAGCAAGGGTGAGGGACTTTCCCAAAGCCATACCACCAATGGCTGGCATGCAGAGATTTGAATAGAAAACAGGCCCGTGCCAAATCAGTCTCACTCTAAAGCCCTCTGCCCTTGCTCTACAACCTTTTCCTCACAAGGGTCCTAAGGTGTCCTGACTGGCAGGTGAAAAATAGCAGAAGAATTAAATATAGATGCAAAGTAAGCATGTTTGCAAACATTCATGCTTCTAATGAGAAAGTTCAAATGAACCTCTAAGATACAAGGCAAAGTTCATATAAATCTTTATGTTGATCAGCTTTTTCACATACATTCTTGGCTGATTAATGAAGGAAACATACCTATTTTTTTACACACATAACTTTTTTAAGAATTATTATTAAAAATCTTTATCTTTACTATTTTACTTTATATCTATAAAACAATTATTATACTGATTTATAGGTAATTATTTTATTCTCCCTGTGACAAAATATGTGTTCATTGTCTTAGTAAGTACACATTTTTAAAAATTTTATTTTATTATTTGTGAGTTTTTGTGGGGGACGGCACACCACACATTCCTGGTTTACTCCCAGCATGGTACTTGTGGGACCATGTGGTGCCAGAAATCAAACCCAAAGTTTTATATTTGGAAGACATGTGAGCTACCACTGAGTCGCATCAACTGCCCTGTTTGGGTTTGTTTTAATTAAAATTGAGGTAATGTGTTTGTAATAGTGTTAATGTCTGTGGTTTTAGTGAACAAAGCTACTGCACCTTAATCATGACTAGCATGGCCAAGGCCCTCCACCAGTGTCTTGTGTCACCTCTAGTCTACCTTGTCCCCAAACCCATCCTCCCACCATTTGGTAACCTCAGTTTTATGGTCAAAGCCCATGGGTTTTCACCTTTAAATATTATCTATTCTTTGATTTCATTTCTTTATGTAGGACATACAAGTGTAATCTTAGATATTTGTTCTTCTCCAGTTCACATATTTCACGTAACATCACACCCTCTAGCTCTATCCATGTAGAAGGAAAAAAGCAAGATTTCCTCTTTTTTTGAGTGTCAAGTAATGAAGTCTTACTTCATTGTGTATATATACCCGAATTTCTATAACCGCTCACCAATCATTTGACATTGACTTATTTGTTGACTATGTTAATAGTAATAAATATTGACTGTGTGAATAACGAGATCATTAACAAAGATATGTGTTTTTTGAAGTTAATTGTTTTGTATTCTTGGGATAGATGCCAAAGAATAGAATCAATGTGTCATATATGTTAGTTTTATTTTCAGTTTTTTTGTGAGATCTCAGTATTGTTTTTCCATCAGTCTACTTTCTCACCAACAGTGAACGAGGCTCCCTATTTCACTCTGCCCCATTGACATGTTCTTTTTAGTTTTTTTGGCATGTAACATTTTCACTGGTGTGAGATGATATCTCATTGTTGTTTTGATTTGTGTTTCCCCACTAATAAGTGATGATGAACTCTTTTTTCATATGCTGGTTGACCATCTATATAGCTTTTTCAAGTTAGTATCTGTTAATTTCCTCTCCACATTTTTAATGGGATTTTGGCTGAACTTTGTGAGTGCTTCACTTGTCTTGGAAATCAGCCTTTTGTTAGATGTGTGATATGCAAATATTTTTTCCCGCCCCATACATGTCTTTGTATTTTATCCTGAGGGGGTTTTTTTTGTATTTTTTCTTTTTAATTTTTTATTTTCTTTTTTTAATGTAGGAGTATTGCTATTTATTCAGCCACTGATTAGGCTGATTGAATTTTGCATGAACTCCACCTTACTTTTTTCCCCATTTTTTATAATTTTATTTATTGAATCACCATGAGAGCAGTTATAAAGCTTTCGGGTCCAAGTTTCGGTCATACAATGAAACACCGATACCTTCACCAGTGCCCATTCTCCACCACCAAAAACCTCAGTATACCCCCATCCCACACCCTCCCCCTACCTGTGGGGCAGATGATTTCCAAATCACTCTCTCTATACTTTGATCACATTCAACATTTTGACACCACACCCACCATTATTATTTGGGATTTTACCCCAACATTTAGATCTGCCGAAAAGGCAACAGTAGACAATTTGTTTTCTATTGCTGGTCATGAATAATATATGATGCTGCATGGTTGCATTATTGGCTGTGCTGTTTTGAAATTCCAAAATTTTAACAATTAATTCTGGAGAGATTTCCTGCCAAAACTTGCTAGGTTCCGAGATCTGTTTCTGAGATCTGGGATCATGGCCATTAAGCACCTTTATCAGGAGCCAGAGAGGCCATTCGTGGGTGGTGACTCCTGGTCTCGTTGGGGTGGGGAGGAAAGGGCCGGCTCCACCCCCATCCCATGAGGCCCTGTGTGTCTCATCACTGCAGGCCCAAACCTGACTGTCCAATGGTCTCTGGCAGATGGCAGCCACTGAGCCGCCAAGGGGGAGCAGGCCAATGCACAAAACCTATTCCCACCTGGGGTGGCCCAGAGCCGGTAACCTACTGCGTGGCCCACACGCATTTCTGCCAAAAGCCGTTGGGTTTCGAGATTTGTTTCTGAGACTCTGGGATCATGGCCGTTAAGCGGTTCAATCAGGAACCAGAGAAGCCATGCCTCCAATTATATAGCTGAACCCGAGGTGGTTTGTGGGTGTGTCTTCCACATACCTAACTTTTGGCTATTTACTTTCTTGATAAACTTTGCCCGCCCCAAGGTTTTGGGGTCTGGTCAAAGGAACAGCAGCAATTTGGGGGAATATAGAAGTCTGAAGGCACCATGAGGCTGCTGATGCACTCGCCTCACAAGTACAGATTGACCTGCTGGAGGCACCGTACCCCCAATCCTGAGTTTCTTTTACTGTAAAAAAAACTTTTCAGTTTGATGTAGTCCCATTTCAGGCTTGTCTTTCTTGGCTAATTTCTACCCCAGACTGTTAATAATGTCTGGAAAATCTGAACCTGAATATTTGCAGATAACATTTTAAACTCAAGGGGCTACATTAAAACTTTTTTAAAGTATAGAAGTGACCATAAAAATATAACTATAACTCATTGATTGGAATACAAAATTTCACCACATAAATTTGAATTTTCTAATGAAACTAACCAAAAGAGTATTTATTTCTATTTCTTTTTTATTTTGCTCATGGAAAGGAACCACACTCCTACCATTTGTATTTCTACTGAAAGACCACTAAAGTGTTAAGTGTTAAGTCAATTCATACTTCATTTTATTGCCCAATTCCAATTGGCCCTTCTACAAAGTTTCAAAAGGCAATATATTGACAAACACAGAATTACGCCAGGATTGTTAATTTAATGAACTAATTTAGATACAGTGAAACATTGAAGTCAGATGTATCTGGGACGATCCAAATGGGTCAAAAGCCCATGCACTGACTTCTGTAAATGCTCATTTACAGAGTTTTGTCTAGGGCTGGAGCCATAGCACAGCGGGTAGGGCATTTGCCTTGCACGTGGCCAACCCGGTCATCCCAGATTCAATTCCGCCCCTCTCAGAGAGCCCGGCAAGCTACCGGGAGAGGATCTCGCCTGCACGGCAAAGCCTGGCATGCTTCCCGTGACATATTTGGTATGCCAAACACAGTAACAACAAGTCTCACAATGGAGATGTTACTGCGCCCGCTAGAGCAAATCGATGAAAAACGGGAGGATAGTGCCACAGTGCTACGGTGTCTATATCTAGGGAGAGCTGTGTGACCAGAGTTGCCTACAGAAAATTGAAAGTGATCCTCCTGAAAACTAATTTCATTTAGTTCGGTCACTCAGACTGGTGAGAATCTTAATCTATATCCCAGTGTGTGCATCTACAGTAGATGATATTATGTTCTGCTTCTGTACCACAACAAATGTGGAGTAAGAACTGTGTTCTGAAAATACTAGGTGTAGTTTAGATCTGGATCCTAAGTTTCAGAGTCCACAGTTCTGAAACAAAGAGAAATCACAGGTTCCTGGATGGAAGTAGGAATTTTCTCAGATTTTTCTTTCTTCCTTTTTTTTAAAAAAAGGAAGTTTTTTCTTGTTTTATGGAAATATTTTAACTTCCCTCTAATATCTCTGTTTTTTTGAATAATAAAGAACTGCCATGCTTGCATTCTTTTAAATTTTCCTTGTACACTTATATCTTGACTACCCTGAATTCTTCTATTTTTATTGCTGATATTACACTGTTGGGAGTCAAAATTGTCACAGTGTCAGGGGTCACACTTTGGCCCCAAGAATTGCACTTGGCAGTATGTGACAGTGCTAGGAATCAAACTCCTTGTCTCATGCCTGCGAGGTAAGTGTTCTACCACTGAGCCCTGTCCCAAGTGCTGTGTATTCTTTCTTTACTTGGGACACCTAAGAGAATCAACAACCATTACAGACAAAAGCATATTCACCAACCTGTTAGGCTTTTTTGTTTTAGGGTCATACCTAGTGATGCACAAGAGTGATTCCTGGCTTACACCTGGCAGTGCTCAGGGGACCAGATGGGGATGTTGAGTATTGAACAGGGAAGCACCTTGCCACACTGTACTATCTCTCCAGGCCCATAATATGTTAGAATTACAAGGGAAAATTAGACTCTGCTGATAATAATAACATACTCAATAAAAATAAAATGCTTAGGGAGTAATTCTAAGAATATATGTGTAAGATAATATATGACCGAATTACTGAGGAGCCCAAAAGAAAATGTAAATATCATAAATAATTTTCCCCTTTGAAAATATCCATACTTTTAAAGGGACAGTATGAAAATTTTAAAAAACACTAACAAATATATAGAAAAAAACAGGGGATTAGACAATATCAAATATTGACAAATCCTTGGACTTTGACTACAAAACTGGGTTACCAAGCAGTGGAAGAGGCAGTTTTAATAAAGGAAAAGGTGGACTGGAAGTGATGTCAGAACAATGTGGAGGGTCTGGGGCACTTTGTTAGTGATGAAAGTACAATAAATTTTTATATAAACATTAACTTTATTATAAGTCAGGGCCACAGCTGTAGACTCAGCTGCAAAGTACATATAAGGAGACTGGATTTGATTCCCAGCACCACAAAATAATCCACAAAATCTCACTATGTAACCATATTACCTAAACTATAACTTTAAAACATACCAACAGCATTTTTTGTAGGGGATTGACATGTTGAATCTAATGTTCACATGAGAACTTAAATAAAATAGCTAGTAAAAATCTAAAAAAAAAATTATGACAGTGATTATATCAGCAACACATATACAAAAATTGGAAAGATACAGAGAAGATTAGTGTGACCCCTGCACAAGGTTGACATGTAAATTTGTGGTTTTTTGTATTTTTAAAAATAAAAGAACTGTAACAAAGGAGAATTAATTCTGTCAGATATTGAAGATAATTCTATAATAATTAGAGCTGTAGTGACTTATTAGTAGGCAGTAACTAATGGTATTGAAGTCTAAAGTAGCCATCTGTATATGAAAGCATTGAATACAATGAAAACGGTGTTTAAAATTAATAGAGAAGATGGATTTCTAATATTATCAAGATCATCTCAAAGTATATACATGGTTCCACAAGACTTAACACAAAATGAATGTAAATGGAATCATGAACTTAAATAAATAAATGATTACTGTATCACTGTCATCCTGCTGTTCATCAATTGCCTCAAGCAGGCCCCAGTAACGTCTCCTTCGTCCTAGCCCTGAGATTTTAAAAATGCCACATTTGAGGGTCTTTCAGGATCAGGAGAATGAGACCCACACCTGGTTTCCTCGGCCGGTTCCTTCATGTGTGAGGCTCTTCCGAACTTGGAGAGTGGTCTTAAGCATGACTGTGTCTGGAACCGGAGGTCTTCAGCTGCAGGGACTCTGTTGGGGGTGGGAAGGGAAACTCAACACACCCTCCTCCAAGAGGCCCCGGTGAGGACAGCCAGGTGTGGAGGCAGGAGACTCTGCATTGTTCTCTTCCGGGAGCAGGGTTTTATAGTCTCTGGGTCTTGGTTGTTGATGGTATTACACAGCGCTGGGGGCAGTTTGTGGGTGTAATGCCTACATACTGGAAGATGGGGGATCATAAATGATCAATGACTGACTATAAACGGCGAGACCATTAAAGTTCTGCAATAGAAAAACAATGGAATAATGTTTATAAAACGTCATTGTGAGGATACAAATGCCATGTAGATTGACAAATAGCAGCAAATATTTGCCAAACAAAAACACCAACAACTAGGCAGTATCTGGTAAAATATCTTACACTCACAACGCATTTCAAGAGTGCCTGTACATGAATACGGAAAAGAAAGGACAAAGAAAGCAACCCAGTAGAAAAAAATGAACAACTTGGTAAGACTGTGCAAAGAAAACCTGTAAAGTGTCTTCTGAAACACTGAAATAAAAATCTTTATATAAAGTACTATACTGTAGCACTGTCCTCCTGTTGTTCATCTATTTGTGAGTGGGCACCAGTAACGTCTCCATTGTGAGACTTGTTACTGTTTTTGGCATATTGAATATGCCACGGGGAGCTTGCCAGGCTCTGCAGTGCAGGCAGGATACTCTCAGTAGTTTGCCGGGATCTCCAAGAGGGATGGAGGAATTGAACCCGGGTTGGCCGCATGCAAGGCAAATGCCCTACCTCCTGTGCTATCGGTCCAGCCCATATAAAGTACAAGCAACATAAATGACAACAATAGCATGCCTTTTTCCTCCCACTCTGTTCAGTTTTAAAACTTCAAAAAAATTAAGTTCTCCAACATTCCTTACTTCAGGACCAGGGGCAATAAGGAATCGTCATTTCTGGTGAGATCATACATTGGTACAATCTTTGTCAAGGGCACTGTGATGGCATCTAATAAAATTTTAACTGTGCATAGTCTTAAAAACTAACAAGATCACTTTTAGGAATTTACACTACAGGTATACAGGCACTTGTGCAAAATTATTAATATAAATTATATTTATTGCTGTCTTGTTTATGAAGCAATAGATAGATTAGAAATGTCAGAAAAGGTCAACATTTGGGGACTGGAGTAATAGTACAGTGGGTAGGGTGCTTGCCTTGCATGTGGCTGACTGGAGTTCAATGCCTAGCACCCCATATGGTCCCCTTAGCCCATCAGGAGTGATTCCTAAATGCAGAGTCCTAGACAAGTTCTGAATGCTGCCAAGTATGGTCCCAAAACAAAACAAAAAACAGAAAAGAAATGGCTAAGACTTTGGAGTTGGTTCAGTAACACAGAATGTCTCTATAATACATTTTTTAAAAGCGCTGTTAAAAACACTTTTTTTTTTAGCTTTTTAGGTCATACCCAGTGATGCTCAGGGATTAGTCTTGGCTTTGCACTCGGGAATCACTCACGGCAGTGCTCAGGGGACCATAGGATATGCTGGGAATCAAACCCAGGTCAGCCACGTGCAAGGCAAATGCCCTACCTGCTGTGCTATCGCTCTAGCCCATGTTAAAAACACTTTTAAATAGACATGGAACTTAATCCAAAATATATGACTAAGTAAAAAATATAAAGTAATGAGATGCAGAACAGTGCACATCTTAGCTGCCATTAAAGTGACGTGTGTGTATTTATAGAATAGTTACAAACTACACATAAAAATCTTGTAACTATAGAAATTAGCATATCTATAGAAATACACCAACAGTATCTATGGTAAACAATGTTTGAGATTGCAGACTTTTCTATGCTTCTGGAATTATATGATTCATACATGCATTACATCAGCATTCTTCAACTACCGGTCCATGGACTGGTGCAGGTCTGCAGGTTTAGAAAGGTAAAGAGACGCTCATTTCTGCCTGGATCTAACTGTTGGTCTGTTAACTTTCATACAGTATGAAAAGTGCTGCTCTGCAGGTATGAAAAGATTGAAGCGGGGCTGGAGTGATAGCACAGTGGGTAGGGCGTTTGCTTTGCACGCGGCCGACCCAGGTTCTATTCCCAGCATCCCATATGGTCCCTTGAGCACCTCCAGGGGTAATTCCTGAGTGCATAAACCAGGAGTAATCCTGTGCATCGCTGGGTGTGACCCAACTGGGATCCATGGTGGTGGGAAATGGGCACTGGTGGAGGGACGGGTATTTGATCATTGTATAATTGAAACCCAAGCACAAAATTTGTAAGTCTACAACTGTACCTCATGGTGTCTCACTAATAAAAATTTTAAAAAAAGAAAGAAAAGAAAAAAAAAAGAAAAGATTGAAGAATGCTGCATTACATAATCAAAACAAAATTTAAAAAATAATGATGAAGTCATTTACAAGGACTTTGAGAACTAGATTTCCCTTATTTTTCACTTTATTGCTAGCTTTAGAAAATTGCAAATTTGACATTTCCATTTAAAATATTAAACAGTTCACACAAATCAATGTCCATTTAGTTCTTTTTTATTTTATTTTTTCAGATTTTAGTGTGTAGATTTCCTAGGAACAGGGGAAAAATGGTATTTTCTTTGACTTACAGTTTGAAATGGGTTGTTCCTTTTCAAAAGTTGATTTCATCTGACATTGTTAAACACTTGAAATGCTGGTAGGTCATCTGTACCCTAATTAATACTAATTGATCTCTTGAATGACAAGATTATTAATTAGTTTAATTACTCATCAAAAAATCAGAACATTGGAGGTTTGGGGTCTGGGCTAGAGGGTGGGTATTGAGTGGAACAGAAGCTCCTCTTGAATTCAGTGTCTTTTATCTCTGTATGTTCTGATACTGGGTTCATAACTCTGAATCTGGTTTTAGGAATCTTTAGTTGAAAAAAATGCATGCTTGCACAAATTTAATCTGTGTGAAAATAGGAGGGTCACACTGTAACTGCTGGATGCTATCATGAAGAATGTAATTGTTTTGATAACAAGAAAAAAATGGCTTTTAGTGAACCGCCTGAGGAAATATGTTTGTGTTCTCTGCAAGTGGAAGATGTAACCTTCTACTCTTTGTTAAGCCTCATTTACCCCTCTCAAAAACAATAAGCAGCCCTCGGCCTTTTTTTTTCTTTTGCACCTGACTCACCCACCACATACAATCTTTCCCCCACCCCAAACAATTTTTTTCTTCTATTTTATTTTATGGTAACTTCTTTCAATTTGGTGTTAAGGGAAAACTCCTCACTTGGTGCTCAGGGGTAACTCCAGAGCTTCACAGAGGCAATGTGTTACTGGGCATCAATCAAATCAGAACTGCTTGTGTGCAATGCATGCACTTGACCTGTTGATCTATCTATTCACTCGAGTGATTTTTGTAGTGTCGTTTTAGATAAAAACTCGGGTTTTTGACAGATTCAAATTTTAGCAAATTCTTGGCTCTGGATTACATGACTGAGATGACCAAGTGAGGATGTGTTTGGTGGTGGGCAGGAGGAAATGAAGAGATCAACTGGAAGTGACATAAAGACATTGGTAGAAGGTCTTGGCTTCTCTGTGGAAGGGAGTGGGGTGACACATGAAGCCGTAAGTAATTTTAATGTTATTGTAACTATATTACCTAAATTATAATCATTAATACTTTTTAATTTTAAAAACAAAGTTCAAATGTTTCTTTGAAATCAAAATTTTTGCTTTGGGCAGGCTGGGAGAGAGTGATGGAAGGGAAACTGGGGACACTGTGCTGGGAAATGTATCCTGGTGGAGGGATGGATGTTGGAACACTGTATGACTAAAAGCTAATCATGAACAGTATTGTAAGGGTCTCACAGTGATTCAAAAAAAAAAAGAAAAAATTATGTTTTGAATAGCAAGTTTTCTCTAAAGTGCCTTATCAATAATGCTTATGCTGATGCTTATTTGTTTATAGTAAAAGCTGGAGGAATGAGAATTTCCAAAAAACAAGAAATTGGCATCTTGGAGAAACAAAGCAAAAAGCCTGGCTTAGAGAAAACGAGGTAGGTACTGCTTCCTTTCTTCTCTTTTAGTACCTTAAGTTCATAGTGACTCTACTTCCAGAAGTCCAAAGCATCTCTGTGTTTTAGGACAAATCAAGGCTCCCTATACATCTGTTCAGATTACTTTTTAAACTTTCTTCCCAGTTTCTGAAGAGGATTTTTTAAAAAATTTTTATTAGTGAAACACCATGAGGTACAGTTGTAGACTTACAAATTTTTGTGCTTGGGTTTCAGTTATATAATGATCGAGGATATTTTTTGAAGATACTTTCTCCATTTAAAATACTCAGGGCTGGAGCAATAGCACAATGGATAGGGCATTTGCCTTGCACACGACCGACCCGGGTTCAATTCCCAGCATCCCATACGGTCCTCCGAGCACTTTCAGGAGTAATTCCTGAGTGCATGATCCAGGAATAACCCCTGTGCATCGCCTGGTGTGATTCAAAAAGGAAAAAAACTGTACTTAGTTCAGGGAGATGGCTCAAAGGACTGTAGCATACATGCTTTATGTGTGGAAGCCCCAGGTTCCGTTTCTCATATCATTTGATATCTTGGAAGGGGGAGGGGAAATGGAGAGGGAGAGAAATGAACAAACCTATTTTTCTCTGTAGTTGTTCTTACTGGAAAATAATAATCACATAATGAACTCAAAGACCTAAAAAAGTCCCTGAGGGGTGTGTTTGCCGGGGGTGGGGATTGTCTATTTGCCTTTTGATATTGCATCAAAGACAGAGCAGAAACTCAGTGTATATGAACTTTTTTTTTTAATGCAAGCTGGTCCATTTTGCGAGCATGAAGCCTGTTCTCTTACTAGAAACTGACAGAGGGATCCACCCTTTCTGTTCTGGTGCTGGTTCCCAGGCCTGCACCAAAATCACCTGGAAGTTACTTCTGATTGACAACAGCCAGAGGGCAAGTCACTCATTTCTCTCCCAAGATGAGACCATACTGTTCAATCTAATATGAATGAAACAGCACAGGAGTCACCTCCTGACTAAGAATGCAGTGCAGTTGGAGACCCTGGCACTGAAGCTTCATTAGCTTTGCCACAAACTCACCCTACGCTGTTCTCAGCTGTTGTACAAGTGAGTACACCTGGGATAGGAGTTCCCAGTTTTCATGGACAAATATCTCTGCTTGTGTGTTCTTGGAGAATAGCTTTTAAAAATATATCATAGAAAATAAATTTCTAAACACATCAACATGTCCATTTCTTAATGACTTCCACTCAACAACATAAAGTACCCAGAAAAAATGAATACAATATGCAGAATACAGAATCTCCTTTAAGAAATTGCACTGCAGGCTCAGCTCTGATGGAGATCTCATTTTGTGTACATCTGGCTGCTTCTTCTCAGGCCTACAAAACAGGTAAGCCTGTGAAGAAGTAGCCAGATGTACACAAAAAGTACAAGATGAGGAGTGGGGGCATGATTAAAAAGTGGAAAGTATGTACTGTGTGACTCATTTTATAATTTACAAGAGCAACCCAAGCTGAGCTATGGGGTTGTAAATCAAGTTAGTGGTTGTCCTTAAGAAACCAGTGGTTTTCACATGCTAGGGGAAAAGGGAGCTCAGATAGAGAAGGGAACACCAAATAAAGGTGTTGGGAAGATCCTCCCAGGATGGGAGAAGCATGCTGAAAGTAGACTATAGATCAAACATGATTGTCACCTATTGCCTCTTTTGCAAACCACAACACCCAATAAGAGGGAGAGAACAAAAGGGAATGCCCTGCCACAGAGGCAGGGTGGGATGGGGGAAATGGGGGATGGGAGGGATACTGGGATCCGTGGTGGTGGGAAATGGGCACTGGTGGAGGGATGGGTATAATTGAAACCCAAGCACAAAAATTTGTAAGTCTGCAACTGTACTTCATGATGTCTCACTAATAAAAATTTTTTAAAAATTAATAAATAAAATGTTTTCTTTTAACCTCAAAAAAATAAATAAAACTTTAACTGCAAAAAAAAGAAAGAAACAGGTGGTTTGACTAGTATTTGAAGTTGGTCACTATTCATTGACTGTGTGCACTTTGCCATATGAATAGTATGATTGAATGAAATATAGTGGAGCGATAGCACAGCGGTAGGGTGTTTGCCTTGCACGCAGCCAACATGGCCAACCCGAGTTCGATTCCTCCGCCCCTCTTGGAGAGCCCGGCAAGCTACCGAGAGTATCTCGCCTGCACGGCAGAGCCTAGCAAGCTACCCATGACGTATTCGATATGCCAAACACAGTAACAACAAAGTCTCCAATGGAGACGTTACTGGGCCCGCTCGAGCAAATCGACGAACAACGGGAGGACCTTTACTTTTACTTTACTTTACCAATAATTTGGTCTACAAAGCATGGGCACAGAGGCAGGATTTCTCCTTCTAGATGTCACCATAGTGACAGCTTAAATGCCAAGTAGTTGGTCCACCGTATGAATCCTTGGGCCAATGTAGTGGGAAAATTTTCATATCCTACACGTTTGTGTTTTCACAGTGCTATTGCAAATGTTGCCAAAATACAGTCAATGGATGCCTTCAGTGACACCCTGGAGAAGGTGAGTCATGAATAGGACCCATCATGTGATGCTCTATGGTGGTGGTTTCCCAATAGGTCTGAGAGTGCATATGCATGTGTTTGCACTCAAGCAAGCTCTCACTCTAAGGAACAGAAAGGCAATGTTGGTGAAAAAAGCTGTTGTTTTTCTATTTTATAAATCATTTTAGAAAACAAGAGAGAAAATGAAACAAGAACCATGAACTCCATATTGGCAAACTTTGTCATCTCAAATACTCCTCAGAAGCATTGGTGTGTTTTTATTAAAAAGGCAGTCTGTCTATTGGGCACTCTGCAGTCTTTGAACTTCTTCCTACCACTGCATTCCCATAAGGAAATATTTGATTTGAGGTGAGATGGCATGGTGAAGTGTTATATAGTTTGCAGCTTGAGGAAGCCTGGACACTGACCGCATTTTTCCAATAAAGTCTGTGCACAAAGGTCATTGACCATTGCTATTTTTATTTCTTTATCTTGAATTTCTATTGAGTAGCTCAAGAGACTGAGAATATTCTTGTCAAATAGACAGTAATTTGATGTTGGATTCAGTAGTGTTTTTCAGTTATGTATGTGATCTGAGTAGTAGTCTTTATTCTATCCTAGAGGGCAGAAATAATTGCATTCAAGAAATAAAGAGCTACTTTTTTTTCTGCTCTTATGTTGATTGAAAGGATAGGACTTGGCATTCCTTTGTAAAAGAAAAAGTTGCTGTTAATACCTAGACTGGGAGTCTAAAAATATTAGAGCAGCAAGTAAGAAGGTAAACCTCAGGGTCTTCCATTTAGTGCTGATTCTCCTACACACTTTGTATGACCTTGAGCAAATTACTTTTGTTGTGTCCCTGATTCATCCTTTACAAAATGGAGATAAGGAAAAGTATGTACTTCAGATGGTTGTTATATGAAGTAAATGACTTCACACACTTGAAGCGCTTGGAACAGTGCCTGGCACAAAGTAACCCATTTGTTCTCTCTATTCAGGTTAAGAGCTTTGATTTTATGGCAGTGAAATGAGAAGTTATGTCTGAAGTCCACCGTGTGTTACAAGGCAGATAGTACTGGGCCAACATTTTCACTGCTGCTCTAGCTACAGAGATGATCTACTGTGGGAGGTTGTAGGGGGGTGGTTCAGCAGGGCACTTGGTGAGATATAAAGTGACTCTACCTTCTTAGCTTTAGAAGAAGAACAAAAATGTCTGATGTCCAATAGGGTACAACCATGTGCCACCTGCATGTCACATTCTCTCACTCCTGCTCATTCACTAAAAGTCTCTTCCTGAAGGACAAGAAAATGCCCACAGTAACAAATAGAAGTGAATGAAACAGGTACAAATCCTAAAATATATGATAACCCACAATAATACACTAATTTTTCCTTTTCAACTTTTATTTAGGCATTGTATTTACAATACTGTTAACAATAAAGTTTCGGGTAGACAATATTCCAACTTCAAACCTACCATCCGGGGCTGGAGAGATAGTACAGTGTGTATCACATTTGCCTTGCAATCAGCTGACCCGGGTTTGATTCCCAGCATCCCGTATGGTTCCCCAAGCACCACCAGGAGTAATTCCTGAGTGCATGAGCTAGGAATAACCCCTGGCATCACCGTGTGTGACCCAAAACAAACGAACAAAAACACCTACCATCCATGTTAGCATCTCTTCACCAATATCTCCATGGCCTTTCCTACCATTCCCACTGACTTGGAAAGCATGTTTTAAAATTACTATAGCTTGGATCACATGTTTACAATAATGTTCATGTTTATAGTTTTGGTATACTCATTTACCTCACCATGACTGAAGTGCCCGATACACTTGACTATTGTTTTTATGTCACATTCAGTCCATCTCATCACTCCCCCCCAACACACACACAAACTTAAATGACTGTCTCAGACTATAATTAAGGCCAGAGGATTGTCAGCATTTGATACCTTCCATTTCCTTGTCTTGTTATTCTATTCCATAGCTGAGTAAGACCATCCAGTATTTGTCTTTCTTTTGGAATGATTTTGCTTACCATGATACCTTCCTTTTCAATCTAAATTATGGCAGACTGCATGATTTTATTTTTTCTTATGGTTTCCTAGTATTCCATTGTGTATATATAACACAACTTTTTTTCCCTCATCTTTATTGAGGTTCTGTGATTTACAATACTGTTAGAATAATTTCATACATGCATCGTTCTAACTCCATACCCACCTGGGTTCCAGTTTCCCTCCACCAATATCCCAATACCCCTCCAATCCATATACCACCCCTTCTCTGACAGATAAAGTCAACTCAGTAGACAAACTCTTCAGTTTTCATGTCTTTGGCCATTTATTGTTCCCTTACTGTGTTTCTTTATATCCCATATATGAGACAGATCTTTTTTTGTGAAGGTCGTGACAATTATATGAGATACTTATAGTATTTCACATAAATATATGAATAAAGCTTTGCTCCTAAAGCTTCACAAAGTTATAAATCAATAGTAAGCTGACATTTTTTTCAAAAAAAGTATATATTTTTACAGATACACAAATTAACAGATAAATAATTCTGTAATAATAGCACAGCAGTAGGGCATTTGCCTTGAACGCAACTGGCCCAGCCGAGCTGGGTTTGATTCCTCCACCCCTCTCGGAGAGCCCAGAAAGCTACTGAGACTATTTCGCCTTCACAGCAAAGCCTGGCAAGCTACCCGTGACATATTCAATATGCCAAACATAGTAACAACAAGTCACACGATGGAGACGTTACTGGGCCCGCTCAAGCAAATCGATGAACAACGGGAGGACAGTGCTACTGTGCAATACATTTTTAATATATTATCATAAAATAGATAAATATATCTATCACATAAAATAGATAAATCCTACAAATAAAAAATTTAGGAAAAATAAGAGGAGAATATTATTTTTGCTTATTTTTTATTGAGCCACAGTGAGATATGCACTTGCAAATATTTTTATGATTGGGTTTCAGTCATCTAATGCTCCAACGCCTGTCCCTTCATCAGTGTACATTTCCCACCACCAGTAAGTCCCCTCCCCCACCTGCCATATGTGCCACTGTGGCACTTCTCTGTCTCTCTGTCTCTCTGTCTCTCTGTCTCTGTCTCTCTGTCTCTGTCTCTCTGTCTTCTCCCCCCCCACTCCCTCTTTCCTTTTTGACATTATGTTTTACAGTACAGACACCAAAAGGTTATCATGTATATGCATTTACCTACTTTCAACACTCAGTTTTTGTCCAGAGTGACCATTTCTAACTCTTATTGTCATACTGATCCCTTCTGTATTCTAAATGCCCTTTTCCCCACACACATTTGTGTGTGACCATTGACCAGTCCTCCTGGCCTCGATTCTTCCTGGTCAAAAGGAGGATTTTTAAGAGGAAAATCTGAACAGGCCTATAAAAGCATAAAAGTGTATTTTCTCCTAAAAAGGTAATGTCGATTTTGTTAGAAAAGATTTTATATTAGAAAATATTATAAATAATGTTTAAGCATCTGTACTAATAAACCAAAGAAAAATATTGATGTAAAAATAAAACAACTGAATAAACATAAAAAAACATTCAAAATAAAACATCACTTCCTTATTTTAAAAGTATAAGTCCCTTAGCAAGCTAGAAATAAACAGATTTTTCTTAATCTAGTAGAGGGTAACCAAAAGTGCCATGAGTAAATGCCATACTCAGTGGTGAAGTGTTGAGCAGTTTGTTTTCTCTTTAATAAGATAAAAATAATGTCCTTTAATGTGTCTTGCAAAACTGGTTTCAAGGCTATGTCCTTCCTGAATTGTTGCTTGTCCATGTAGCTCTGCATAGTTCTTTCAAACCTGAATAGAGCTACTCTGGCTAAATAGAGTAGTGGTGAGTTGTTCATTTCATTGGGTTTTTTTTGGGGGGGTGTTTTTTTGTTTTGTTTTGCTTTGTTTTTCAAAACTATAGCCACAATTCTCTTCTGACCTGTGGAGTTGGGTGGATTTGCCATTATTCTTTTCTTTTCTTTTTTTTTTTTTTTTTGCTTTTTGGGTCACACCCAGCGATGCTCGGAGGTTATTCCTGGGTCTGCACTCAGGAATTACTCCTGGCGGCGCTTGGGGGGACCATATGGGATGCTGGGGATCAAACGCAGGTCTACCGCGTGCAAGGCAAAAGCCCTACCCGCTGTGCTATCACTCTGGCCCCATCTGCCATTATTCTTATGGGAGTTTCTTTGTATGTAAGTTTCTTCTTTGACCTTGCTGCTTTCAAAAATATTTTTGTCTTTTGCTGTTCTGATTATAATGTATCTTGGATTATTTATATTTGTATTTTTTTTTCTGGGACTCTTCTGGCCTTTTGGATCTAGGTGTATGCTGTTAGTTCTGGGAAATTCTTATCCATGGTTTCTTTACTAGTAGTTCTTTGTCAAATTTGCCTTCCTATTCCTTAAGATGAATAACTCTTATAGTGTTCCTCTTGATTTCATCCCTCATTCTCTGTTGTGCTGTTTATTTCCTTCCAAACTTCTTTCCTTCCTCTGTTGTTTTCTAGAGGTCTCCTACATCTCATCTTAGAGCTGGTAGATTTTTTTTCCCCCTCAGCTGCTGTTACTTTGTTGCTGAGATCATTTTATATTTTTTTTATTTCACTCTTCAGTTTTCCACTCTTCAGTTCTGTCACATGATTGCAGTTTTCTCATTTCCACTCTAATACATTATTGTGCTTTACTGACAACCTGCACCATTGTTTATTTGAGCTTATCAACATCCTCAGCATGGTGTCTCTGTACTCAGTTTTTGGACTGATAATGATAGAGTCTCCTGTGTTATCATCTTCACTTATTGAGCTTGGTGGGCCTCTATATATTCCCATGGTAGCTGCTTTGCTCTGAGGATGTATCTTTGTAGTTAACCCCGTGGGAGTTTTATATGGAATTAGGCTGAGTGTTCCTCTTCTCCTTCCCTACTGGTTTTCTCCCAGTCACATGAGGTATAAATATTTGCACTATAAAATGTGATAA